ATATACAAGGCATATGTATGCGGTTTATATGCATACACAGATGCTATAGTTTGCCAGTGATCATGCCTGCAAAGCAACATGCTCGAATATGTCCTCTACCCCAAAGCCTAATTAAACCCTAAACTATAATACATTATTGTATGAAACTAACTTACATTCAAGTATACTAGATGATAAGCTGCAGCTGGGGCCAGAAGCGGAGGCACCTCAGCGTTGCGAGCGCCAGCTTCGCAGTCTGAAGAGTGGAGATCGCCTGGAATCTTTCTGAATGTCTTGGGAGTTTAATACAGGGGCCTCAATAATTACAATGGGGTTTTGGGCCCATTATACTGTAGCTACAATAAGGAACCCCCAATATGGTATTGGTGATTATGTAGGTCCCTATATTAAGGCTTAGGGCCTTGGGGTTTTTGGTGTTAAGGGAATTTGTGTTTGAGGGCTTAGGGTTTTGGGTTTTAAGGGAATTTTTGTTTGGGGGCTTAGGATTCAGGGTTTTAGGGGAACTTGTGTTTGAGGGCCCGTTTCCCTGGTTGTTACTCCAAGAGAGCCTGCTTAGGCAGACAAGTGTGCCGCAGCGAGTTGCACTGTCCCTAAACCCTAAAGCCTAACCCTAAACCTTAAACCCGAAACCCGAAACCCTAAGCCCTGTCTGTTCTCGTTGCTTTTTCGGAGGGTGGGTTCCGCTTCAGCTTTCTGATCCTTGCAACCACTACCTAACCTTGAGTCTTGCTCCTACTGGCGAGATCATTCGCAAAGCGCCAGGTGCCAAAGACTGGCCAACACCTCCGCGCCCTCAGCCAGAACTCCAAAATCCACGTTCGGAGCCGGGTTTCGAGCAGTCCCTTGATGGGGGCAAGCATCAGCAGATGGCAGCGGCAAGCATCTACTCCCCTGCCGTCAGTGTTTCGAAACAACCCAACCCAACATCCCACACCTTGGCCTCCACCTACCAAAACCCCCCCCTCCCCGCCCCCGACACAGCTGCAAGTCTCTAAGCGCTCATGAAGCCCCAAGGCCAAGCTCAACGACCCCGGAATCGGCCAATTTCTCGAAGTCCAGCAGCGAAGGGCCTGTCCGCTCCATCCCAGAACCCAGACCTTCTCCCCTTCCAGAGCCTTGGCAGGGAGTTCGGGTAGTGGGTGTCTAAGACTCGGGAAGCTTGGGAGCATGATATAGCATACAACATTCGGCAGGATGAGACCTAGTGCAGAATGCAGCTGGATGCTAGCATAAGATGTAGAAGCATAATGAGAGCTGAGCTTCTCTGGACACAGGCGTCTTTACCCGAGGAATCCATGCTGCTAGTGAAGATTTACTCCCAAGGAGTACGGATTGAAGAAGTTCATGCAGTTTGAGCCAAAGAGCCATCTTAAAGCTGTCTCTCTTTCTCTACACCAACTCCCACATGTCTTTCTGAAAAGATAGTTTCAATAAACCCTGGCACCTCTCCCGGCTTCAGATCACGACCCTCATCAGGAAATTCCTTAGGGGCTGAGTACCATGGCGCAAAGAAGTTGACCTTTCTAACTAAATATGCTAGGATTCTACAAACCCCAACAGGTTTAAGGTTACCTTTACGAAACCCTAAACCCTAATCCCTACCCACCCGACTACTAAGATGCTAAGGCTGAAACGGATGCCTGAAGGACTGCTGCCTTGCCTCCGGAGCCGTACTGGCCTCGTGGAGAGGGAAAGATCTAAGATGACGACGTGAAACTTACCGGTACTCACAACCTGTAGTATACTGTGAATACTGACACAAAACTATACATGATGTGATGCATTACTTGCTGTAGAATATTATTTGCACAACACCGTGGGTCTTTTTGTTGTCGCAATATTCGGAGTTCAAGGCTGAGAGGGCTTATCGGGGTCAGGGGGTTTAGGGTGGGCTAGCTTCAAAGGGGGTATTCACTTCACGAACTGCGCCTTGCAGTCAGCAATTCGCAACATCCTGTGTCTTGGAGCCTAAATGCAAGGATTGCACGTTGCCAGGAACTTCGGCCTATCATCGCCGTTATCTTACTTTCAAGTGCTTGCTGTGGTGGCGAAGGCCGGAGACTGCTCTCTGAGCTATGCATCGTGGCTTTGGAGAAGTGCTACCCCACGTATTTTCGTTCAAAGCATGCCCCCGGGCCATGAGTGTAAGGGAACTTGTCATGTTTAGGCTTGCCAGTGATGCCTTTTTCCGAGGTTCAGGGTTTAGGGTTTAGCGTTGCTCCGACATAGGACTCAGGGCTTAGGACGGTTAAGATTTAGGGTTGCCCTCCGCAGCTAAATAATGGTAGGATGCAAGCTGGTGGCTGTCGTGAGGATAGAACAAGTATCATGTGAAACGTGCATGCAGTATAACCTGAAGAGGGCAGCATGATTTCTCAGTAGATATCCGCTGCTTCCGTGTAAAGGCGCAGGCATGCGAAGAGTGTCACGTGTTGGCCCTTCACGTGATATGAGGCCGAGCCCATCCTGATGTCTTCTTCGGAATCATAATCAACATCATCACCTCAACTCCGTCAACAGAATTCACCTAGGTTACAGCAAGAGATAGTAGTCTCAAGGGGTAAGGCATTGATGACTAAACATGATTGAGCCGCAGCCCGAAACAGTACAGTGAATGAGACACGAAACCTGAAAGCTGAGGGACATAATCATGAGGACAACATACACTGCTTCTGTCTTGAATCTGGTTTTTGCTAGCGGTACATTATGTAGTCGTAAATACAGTGATAATCAAAACCAGAATATAAAACTTGCCCGCCAAGCCCTAAACCCCCAACTCCCAACTTCGAACTTGGCATGCCGACTGGTCATCTTCTGCGTGGAGGCACCAGTAGTTGCCGTTTGGCCACCAAACGAAAACGCCCGCAGAATCTCCTGCAAAGTGCTTGTTGAGAGATTCACAAAGCGACATAATAATGAGGCATAGATGAATGTGTTACGGGGTCTCTTGTTGTCTGAAGAAGGGTGGTTGAAGGCTGTGACGGTTTGTCACGTAGGGTTTAGTTAGGGCTGCAGGGTGTAGGGTAATGTTGGTATAAAGCGATCTTCGGGGATGTGTGGGACACATAGGCTTGTTTATCGTCCCAACATGCTACAGTAGTGTGTTGTTGTCAAATGTCACAATGGCTCGGGTATTGCGATAGGCGTTATGTTAGAGCACATCTACTTTTCATTTTCAGCTGGTCAAACCGACATCGAGACTAGATGACCCAATACCGCAAGCGATCCAATGTAATGACACCACTCACAAAACCATACCCAATTGGCACGTGTCAGAACCAGTATACGAGAAAACAACAACAGCATAAAACTCATGCACAATCAATACTAAAGTAAACCCATCGACGAGAATCCAGACCTCAAGAGCGAGAACTCTGAGGTCAAACCCTGACTCCTGCTGCCAAGCGTGTTGACCCGTGCGAATCTTGAATGCGGCCCAGTTCGAAACGCGCGTAGTCAACCGTGGACGTTTCGCGAGTGAGATTGAAGAACTTATGACTTGTGCTGGCGAGTATTGTGTTCACACTAAACAAATAGCAACATGCAGGCTGCATCCCCAGTGAATCCCCTGCAGGTCATAACCTGCAATGCCACTAATGCAAGCGAACCAGTCTGAGAACAACCTCAACCGAGCTACAACCAAGCAGCAACTCACGCACTGCCAACACCACATCCCAAAAGACAGTGACGCTGCAGCCAACGTGACAGCAACTAGAACTAATACTGCTACTGCTAGTGCAGCTGCCATTGCTTCTGCTGCGTCTCGAACTGCCCGCCTGGACACTGCCACGCGGTGGCTCCGAGAATCGAATGGTCATGACCTCAGTTCATGGGCAAGGGTTTCGGTTCAAAGTCTTGCTTTGGGGTTTAGAGTTCGGGGTTTGAGAGTTTAGGGTTTTAGGGTTTAGGGGTTTGGGGTTTCGGATTGTGTTTCAGGGCTTTTGGTTGAGGCTGCCAGTGTCAGGCTTTAGGGCCAAGGATTCACGGGACAGGGGTCGGTGGGGGAGCTGCGCGATGCAGACTCACGATGCCGGGTATAAGGAGCATGGCAACAGCTGACAGCAGTCATGGACATGGCAAGCAGAAACCAAAGCCACAACCAGCAACACCGCCAACAAGCACCAGCAAGCCCAAGCGACGACCATCCACCAGCAGCAATGGACAACCGCGACGACACTAAGCAATAATGGGCAACCGCACGGGCAGAGCTGCCATAATGTTCAATGAAATTTGATTGTGGTCCAGAGGGTCGTGGCAAGAATTGCTATATCTAGATTTCACATGGAACCAAACTAGGCTGCCACCAGGAAAGCAAGGAACATTATGGCTTCTCCTCTACCATGATGAAGGTGTCGGCGAGACTAAGACTGACGATAGACAGCAAACACTGACAACACTCGCGGAATAAAAGGACGCTTCCTACCGACACCGTTACTACCACCCCTCCTGCTTTCCTAGCTACCGATACTACGAGACTTCTCGCCAGTACTACTGCGACGCATGAACGTCCTAAATACCCATCCAACGGCCGCCGTTTCAAAAAGCCACAACATATCCCCCAAACCCTACAGTGCCTGAGATAGTCTGTCACTTGCTTCTGCAGGTTCTATGGATCTTTGACTTCGCATGCAATGCACAGGGGAGTGGCCTGGGGCTTGTCCGTAGTGCTTGACAGTTTAGGCTTTGGCGTTTTAATGTGCTGGGCTTGTAACAGGTTAAACTTAAGGGGCTGCGTGTCTGAAAGTTTAGAGTCTGAGTGCAATAAAGCTCAACAAGGGCTTTAGGAGTTTAGGGATGGCGGGTTTAATGGTCCCAGAGCAGATCCGGGAGAGGAATATCTCCCCAAGGGCTCCAAGCCCCCCATGTGCGGAATCGACGGAAAAGAAACGATCCTAATACAAACTGTTCAGGGTTTAGGGTTTAGGGTCTTTTGAAGACCCAGCACAACGGTACCCTGAATTTTCTGGAACTCCCATGTGCTATGGACCTCAGGGTCACGCCACATCAACGCCACGGACCAGTGGCACAGACGGATGTGGTCGCACCTGCACCCGTGTGAGCAAGGGGGTTTTCGGGTCTCGTTTTCGGGGTTTATCGAAGCAGAGTCGTGACTTTATGCCATACATGGAAGATGCCAGTTAGACTGGAGATTAGGGCCTTTCACTTCTCAGTAGCACAGTACAAGCCCGGCCGAACAATGCAGCTGAAATCTGACGGATGTCATGCTAATCATGCATGAGACCCTAAACACTGAACCTTAAGTCTGTAAGTTCTAAACACTAGAACTTAGCCCTTAAAGCTCAAACCCTAAACCCTGTTATCCAGATCGAGACAAGATAAACGCACATAAAAGCTTCGTCAAGGGCCGCGCTGAGAGGATGCGAGGGGGCTTGATGCTCTCAGGCACAACGGTGACGTCGAAGGAGAAAGGAAAGCACCTCGGGTGCTTTGTTTAGGGAGCAGGGGGCCGTTTAGGGCCTACGGCGTTTCGGGTTGGGGATGTGCGCCGGGCCAGGACCTACCCGTCAATGAAAGGGTGGATTTATGACGACCGAGAGCCTAAGCTGAACCCTACGCCCGAAATCGTTAATCGTGAGTTGAAGAAACCTCAACGTGTACAAAAGCGGACGTTGACGGTAGGACCCCTGAACCCTAAACCCTAAACCCCTAACCCTAACCCCTATATGCCCTCTAAACCCCTCTTTCTCGCTCCCTCTTTCCTCTTCCAGCTTGCTGCCGTGATCTTTCCCTGCCCCGGGCTGGGCCCCGCACGCGCTGCCCTCGATCTGGCCGGTCCAATGATCATCTGCGACCTCCGTAGGGCTTTTAGGGTTCAGGGGCTTAGGGGTTTAGGGTTTAGGGGTTTAGGGGTTTAGCGTTTAGGGGTTGAGGGATTTAGGGTTTAGGGTTTAGGGGTTTAGGGTTTATGGTTAAGGGGTTTAGGGGGTTTGAGGGATTGGGGATCAGGGCGCAGAGGGTTCTCATATGGGTTAGGAAAGAGCAGGGTGGGGTGGCTCCCACTGCTATTCCGGCTTCCTCTGAAACTCCTACAGTAACTCGATTCCGTTCCGGCGCAAAGCTGAGCCGAAGGCTCGGATGACGTACGAGCCAGGCTGCAGCACGGCTCCTGAAGGGACGGGTCCCGGAGAGGTGTTGGGTTTAACCCTAAGCCCTAAACCCTAAACCCCTAACCCTAAACCCTAAACCCTAAACCCTAAAGGTTCAGCCCCAAACCCTGAGCCCCAACCCGGTTTTGGATCTCCATGGAAGGGCCTAGGTTGTTAGGACTACTAGGAGCTGTCAGATGAAATGATAAAAAGATAGGGCTCGGGATGTGTGTTCGCGTATTGGAGCATACAGTGCACGAAAGCTCCATTAGAAGGGTATAGTAGACTATAGGTATAGCAGGGACCCTGAACCCTAAACTCTAGGGACCACAAGGGGATAGCATTCCCCATTAATCCGACACCTTCTATCACAGAAACCCTGGGATCGGAGATCAGGCCCTGCGATCCTGGGGCACCATGTGCCAAGAAAGCCGCATCCCCACCCTTTCCCCTACAGGGTTTAGGGTTTAGGGCCAAAAAGTTTTGTAGGGTTTAGGGTTTAGGGTATGGTTCGGAGATTTGGCCAACTTCTTCAAATTATATGATTCGGGGCAGAGACCTCGTGGGTTCAATGCCTGGTTAACCACTATAATCCAACAAACAGCTTGCAGGGGAATCGCTGTGAACTTCAACAGGCAGACACACACAACACGCGCACAACACTGTAATCATATGTTTCACTCTACTCGCTTACGATTATGATATGGCATTCTGTTCGATGCCCGCATTACATTCCTTATCATTCTCCTACATTACACTGCACTCCATTCGTTGCCCTAGGCTCGGATACCGAAGCCCAAAACGTTCGACCCTGATTCCGAACTCCACAAGCCCAAAGTCAAACAAAACATCTGCCTGGCAGCCCCCCCCCCCCGCAACCACAGAAGCTCAACTCAAGGAGCCGGGGATAAGAGTTTAGGCATTGGGGGTTAGGGGTCTCTACACCTTCAAGCCCATGGGGAAGGTATGTGCCATGACAATGGTACTGCGATCAGAAGTAGTACGTTAGCAGGTGTACAGTAGTAGTAAGAATGTACAGAATGGAACCTGCTGTCAGCTTGGCGTTGATCGTGCTGCTCGGGCTGTTCATTGGCTCCTGCGGAAGACTGCGGAAAAAGAAGCGAGCTGTCGATGGCTTTGCTCAATGCGTTCAAGACCCCGTCGACGGGATGTATAGTTCAACAGAAGGAGTTCGATGGCACATGCGGCGGAACATGACTATATGGACCAGGGAGGCACAGAAACAAGGGTTCTCAACCAGAGTAAAAGCACTGGCGATCGTGACGGTGAGGGATGGTCATGACGGTGATGATGATGACGATGACGATGACGATGACAATGACGATGATGATGGTGGTGATGATGATGGTGGTGATGATGATGCCGGTGCTGGTGCTGCTGCTATGTCTATGAAGCCTGCTATACAACCCTATTAGGCGGTATATCCTTGCAGACACCTGAAGATCCTCTGTGGATCCCCTGTGAGCTCCTTTCATAGAGCCCTTCCTGTAAACAGGGGACCCTCATATAGTACCCTAAATAATAGGGTCCTTAATATAAGGACCCCAAAACAAGGTACCCCTAATTTTCGGAAACTCCCATATTACTAGATCCTTATATAGAGCACCAGGAAGGTCCAGCGTACTCTGCACCATCGGCTTCGAGTTCGTCGACTCCTCGCTGCTCTTCTCGCGAAGTCTTTCGGGATGTAGAAACTGGGGTTTTGACATACTGTAGGGGCCTTAAGAATTAGAATAGGGTTTTGGGGTTTATGTTTTGGGGTTTTATTATATCATAACTATAATAAGGAAGCCCCCAAAAATAGAATAGGTAATTATTGACTATTGAGGCCCCTATATTCGGCCTTATCAGGGGCCTTCTGCTTCTCAGAGGCTCTTGCACGGTCTTATGACAAGTTATAGGGGTTTCTAGATTGCCTTGGTTGGAGCTTCGGGGCTTTCGAGATCTGGTCCTTTCAGGGGTTCTGAGTTCAGGGCTTTAAAGTCCTGGGTTTCTTCTAACCTTTCTCTCGAAAGGCCAAACGGGAAAGCCTCTCAGGAAGGTGAAAAGGTACTTGTAGTTCTTTCCACTGCGGGAGCAGTGGGAGCTTTGAGGTTCATCCGCGACCAGACCTCGATCTCTGCTGCTGGGGATTGGGGTTTAGGGTTTAAGGGGTATAGGGTTTAGGAGTTTAGGGTACAGGGTTAAGGGTTTAGAGGATAGGGGTTTAGGGTTTAGGGTTAGGGCCGTCTCACACGCCAGCAGACCAGCACCAACTTAACACCAATGCGTCTCTAAAGACGAGACTTGCATGGGGAACGGGCACCTTAAACACAAAGCATTGTTTTTTGGGGTATCTTTCCGGTTGCTATAGCAGGCTGGATCCTTAAGAGGTTTAGGATGTAAAGTCTAGGCTGAATCCCCAAATCAAAGACCGTGATCCAGAAATCTAAGAGTCTCAAACCCCTTCAAGCATTACGTCTCGAACTTAGTGTTTAGGGTTTAGGATGTAGGGTTTAGGGCCAAAGCAACCACCGAAACACCGAAACTCCAAATCCTGTTTGCCCATACCGGGTTCGGAAATGAGATTCGAGAACATGAAGGAACCACACCCATGATATGCAAATATAATAATATATGATAGGCATTCATTCATGATTCATGTTATCTGCTTATCAAACACCCTCAACCCCTAAGCCGCATAGCCCTTAAAGCTATCAACAGCCAAAGCGCGAGTGCGAAGAGGAAGCCCGACCTGTGCCAGAACGAAATCCATCTCTGCGTGGGAGACCATGAAGTTGTATCCAACCTGAGGCTTTAGGGCTTGTGGGGTTTAGGGTTTAGGGTTTAGGGGTTTAGGGGTTTAGGGTTTAGGGTTCTAGGATGGGTTTCGTGGTTTGTAGAGCAAGGGTTTCTAGGGCCAAACCCTACATCGGGGCTTGGGGCTGATATTTTCAGGCCTGGCCTGGAAAAGTCATACATACATGTCTGGCTTAAGAGAAAGTCCTTTCGTGAAGCGGCTAAGCTATTGAGCAAAGCCTGGCGAGAATCAGCGAACCCCAAACCAACATCCCGCTTGCGTTCGGGATCTTGGTTTGGGCTCTTGGGCTCTGGGTTTCGTCTAAACGCCGCAGCCCCAAACAACCGCGTCTAGCTCGAACAGGTGGGCTGCCTCCACTCCCACCCATGAAGCAGAAGAAAGCTCGATCCGCGTATTCGTGAGGAAGCCTGGGACGCTAGGAGGTTCGGTCTGCCAGTGCTAGTAATGTAGGTGCCTCAATAATCAACATAGGGCTTGGGGGTACAATACACCAGAACCGTATCGGTAAATTATGAAGCCCCTCCAGTACCTATCTTACTTCTGATTCGATGATCCATACGTCTATCCATGTCTCGATCTTTAGGTGTCATACTGTTACCTATCCACCTACAGGGCTCCATGCATTCGTTCATTCTTTCACTCCATCATTCGCTCATTCATACATTCGTTCATTCATTGATTCATGCACTGTTGCATGCACTGTTGCATTCATTGCATTGCATTGCATTGCATTGCATTGCATTGCATTGCATTGCATTGCATTGCATTGCATTGCATTGCATTGCATTGCATTACATTACATAACAGTACATTACATGACATTACTACATACATGCAGGCATGCGTGCGTGCATGCGTGCATGCATACATGCATCTGCTTATGCGTACATACCTACATACTTACAAACTTACATGCATACGTACATACATACATTCTTATACTTACTTGCATACATATGTAGTAGGACTTCCCATCACACTCCTACATATTCTCGGCTTGTACCTATCATTCAGTGGAAGACATCGATGATTACAAAGGCTTGTAGATGGCTCAGGAGTTCCATCCTCATTGCGGATACCGAGCACTTCGGAAACGCCAAATCCTAGCGTAGCAGGCCACCACCTGCTAGAGGGTGATTCAGCTCCGATGGGGGTGCTCAGCCCCCTAACCCCAAACTCTCAACTTCCTCATCCACCCTGAGCCTCGTAATGCCTGAGTCCTCAACCCCTAGAGCACTGAACTCCGAATCCCTGGGGTTCGAAAGGTCCGCCACTACTGCTTCCGCGCACCCCACATCAAGCCTATAGTTCTGGAGCCCTGAATGGTCTTCAGGTGTTTGGCTTTCGGGTTTCGGGGGCTCGGGCTCTGAGTATTTTGCCGAAGGGTTGTTTTCAGCATGTTGGGGTCTTGGGTTTCAGGCCATAGGTTTGATCTTGCTTGGGCTTTCTTGCTGAAAAATACACAGCTCACGGGGTCTAGCCTCTGCATTCCACTCTTCAAGTCCTGGGATTCTGACCCTAAACCTCAGCCCTTAAACCTTGAGCTAGAGCCTGCCGAAGAAAGTGAACTAGTTCGGAAGCGACTTCGACCAACGATGCCTTTGGAGTTGAAGAGTTGTCAATGCCTTGCACTTCATTCCCAGAATGCTGCCATGTTACCATCCCGATAAAGAAAGAGCCTCGGTCTGGGTCAACCCAACAATCCAAACCCAAAGTCCGAAACTCCTGGCTGAGTCATACCGCCAGCCTCGCTGTACCTGTGACAAAAACTGCAAAGGCTTGCTGTACCTGGGCAACAGCGAAAACGCACCCGCTGGAGACGATGTGAAATGTCGTCGTGAAAGTTGCGAAGTTGCAGACAACGATATCCTAAGCAACGTAGTACTTACTACCCACACTTCAACGTATGCTTACTCGATTGCTTGACGTGAGGTGCAAACCCGCATAGATTGGTGATTAGGAATCGGTCGCAAATTTCGGCAGGCGTCGATGCGATCTTCGGAGGGCTTTGGGCTTCGCGAGCCCGGCTACGGAAGCCTCAGTTCAGTTGTAGGTTGTATGTCATGCACCCAAACTTTCCTTCGCTCTTGGGGTGCTTTGCCTGGCCGTCATCGCACCCTGGCCCTAACCTGTCAGCCTCCGTCGCCAGGGCTCTCTCTCCTGTCCCAGGCTGTGCATGGCCCATAGCATGTGAACTCCAACCCCCGAAGCCTCCGGCCCAAGATACCCTGTACTCCAAAAGCACATGCTCTCCCCAAAACACCAAACTGTAAGATCTGTAACCCTGGGTAGGAAGATGAGGATAAACTCTAAGCCGAATTTGGATTATATGAGCACTTCTCAGCTGTTGACTAGATGAACACCCTGGTCGACAGGCTGGGCTTCCCTACCTGAAGACTGAGCTGGAGGTAACATCCAGCGACTCCGGGAACATGTCCTCGGACAGGACGTGCTGTGGCGCTGCGGGGATGGTGAGCAGGAGGGGTGCTTCAGGGTTTTGCAGGAAGACGAAGGCAAGATCTGCCACCACCCCTCCCCCGAGTAGCGACCCTGGCTGGCCCCGATGCCCAAAGTGTAATTTCACGCGAAAACGATGGGAACACGTAGCGCCCAATCCCGAGTAAAAACAGCGGGAGTGGAAGTGACTGGGATAGACATTTACTTTCAGTTGTGTATGGGCTTCTAGGGCTTGTCTCTGTCTGTCTCTCTCGCTCTCTTTCTTTCTTTCTTTCTTTCTTTCTTCTGCCGGGCGTAGGGGTCCGTCGAGGACCCTCAGGCCATCGGCCCGCCCGACCACTCCTTCTGCTATTGAGTGGTCGGCTTTGGGGTCTGCAATGACTGCTGCAAAATGGGACAGAATTTGCCCCCAAATGGTTCACATCAAGCCCCCGACCCGGTATCCTAGATTCCTTACTGGCCTCATCGCTCGCTCTTCTCTCTCTCTCTCTCTCCCCCTCCTTGTCCCTTCCACAACTATAGACTAGGCAGACAGCTACTTGAATAGATCGAACAAACAGGCAAAGCCAACATGTGCACAAGTCGCCCCAAACCGCAACCCTGAGCTGAATCCCTCAGAGGCACTGAGCACTGAAGATTCAACCCCGCATAAGTTCAAAACTGCAACCCGTCGCGCAGACACCCCATAAGCAATCAACCCGTAGACATAGACGCTCACGCGGCCCTTTGGTCTCTAAAGTGTGCCCTCCCCCGGATCCTCTGGACGGGAACCGCTTCCCGGGCAGCTGGTCATCCTCACCGACATGGGGGCTTCTGAAAACAAGGGGTACCTTATTTTGGGGTCCTTATAATAGGGATCCTAGTATTTAGGGTACTATATTCGGGTCCCCTATTTTCGGAAACCCCCACATGTTGCAGCTTTTCGGCGCAGTGTTTCAGGGTTTTGCGCTTTCTCTGTCAGGGCTCCGGGTGTGGAGTTTCCGTTTCTAGTCGACTCTTCGTCGTCTAATCTCAGATTGGGTGGAGTCTGGGAGCAGGATGGACTTGCTGTATCCCCTGATCCTGCAGGGCTTCAGTGCTATAGGTGTTGTGTGTGTTTCTGTTTGTGTGTGTGGGGGTCTTTGCTAGTCTTTCGGGCTGTCTTGTGACGACTCGACCCTGCAGCTCTTCGACATTACAGTCTACAGATCCTCAGAACTTGCCCTTAACGAATCCTACAACCCTGCAGCCTGAGCCGGAAGCTTCACCTCAAGTAGCCAACAAATAAAAAAGGCCCAAACTATGGTGCATCCTTCCCACTGTTTTGGGCACCCCAAACCGTGGAACTGCTGCCACACAAGCTTTCGGGTCTTCTTAATCATAGCACCCCTGCAACATCCTACAGTTTGAATCCTAAGACCCTAGTTAAGACCCTAAACCGTGACGCCGTAAAGGCACTAAAGCCCCGCGCAACTGCTGAGTAGTCCTCGCAAGATCTGACTTCGGGTGCACCTGGAGAAGGAGGCCAAAGTGAAGGCAAGCGGACCTTAGAGCACGAAACGCGAGCCGCCCCTTGGCCTTTCCAAGCGTTCAAGCTTTGTGTCTCATCCTGAACTATCTTGCCTGATCTTACCTATCAAATCTTGCGCAGTACCATTGTACTGCACTATACGATCTGTATATATATATATATATATAGATATAGAAAGAGAGAGAGAGAGAGAGAGATAGATAGATAGATAGATAGATAGATAGATAGATAGATAGACAGAGAGAGAGAGAGAGAGAAAGAAGTGTACATATGTAAACACACATATGTAGTCTTTTTAATATTCACGTTCATTGCACAATCACCCGGGGTTCCGGCTCTGTTCGCTCGCGATGGGCGTGGTGCCAGGTCAGCCAGTACTCACAGGTGTCACAGGTCACGTGCCCAGGAAGCGTGATCGCCAAACTACAGGTCACAACGTCAGTTGCAGGACCCAGCGCCTACTGGCAAGCATACATGGACGCGTGCAACCCACAACATACATGTGTGTAGACAAGGATGCCTTCTATATACATTTATGCTACACGTGTACATATTTTCATATACGTGTGCACGAAACTTAATGATGCATCTTCAAGCACATCCAAACACATGTACAGTTGTTCGCACACAGACGGCTACACGCATGTATGCATGCACTCTGTCACATTGAACCATACACAATCAGATTGCGGGTGTATGTGTACAACCAGCCACATACACCTTCAAGTGAGTGAGATGCACATCGAACCCGGCAAACGAGCACACCCCCATCTCAGACGGATGCACGTCCGCAGGTATGGATGTGCAGACGGCCAGACTGTTCAAATCCAGCAAAGTATTGCTTGCAAGAAGCACGAAAACTGTCAATACACGCAATTCGACCGACCTTTCATCTACCTGACATGTCGAATCCTACAGTTATCCGCAGGTATTCTCAACCCTAAACCTAAACTCAAGTCACACCGTCGACCAACTTCGGTCCTGCCCCCGCGGCTGCAAGTTGTAGATCTGGTATGCCGATGTCAGCGTTAAGGGCTTAATGTAGGGGCCTTATTAAATAGAATAGGGTTTTGGGCTCGTTTGTAGTATTAATGATTAATGTGATCAAGAACCCTAAGGAATAATACAGGTAATTATTGAAGCTTCTACGGTAAGGCCCTAGGACCTGTAGGGCATTGGTGAGGCCTCGAGGTTTTTGGTTTTTAGGGCTGTTTGAACGGCCTCAGGATTTGGGCACGTTAGGCTTTAGGGCCTTTAGGGTTTTGCGCTTGTAGGATGTTGTGCTTTTGGGGGGTTTTAGACAGGGGTTGCTGCTTCTCCAGGTCCTCGAGATGTCAAGGTACGAGGTGTTAGCATAGCACAAGCTCTGAGAAGCTTCACAGAACTACTGACTTTGTTCCGATAAAGCTTTCCTGTATGAGAACAGAGTCAAACGCCGCCAAATCCAGCTGGCCGTTCTTTGCCGTTCCTTTTCAAGTTATTACAGTCTCAGAAATGAGGGGCTGCGGGTAAGGGTCTGTGTCGTAAGGACCCTACGAATCCCTGCACAGCATCAACAAAGTCTTGCTTGTTCAGCGGAAATATGGCATTGCCGGGCAGTGTGTTGACTCAATGCGTTTTTCAGACGGTTTCAGCATGCGAATATTGCCTGAGTACCTGCGGCGGGCTACAGCCGCACCGTGCTCCATTAACGGTCTCAGCAAGGTTTTAATTGAGGACCTGCATGAGGGAGGGTTCATACTTATTGTTTTGAGCGACCGGCCCCAAATTTTCTCAAATTCCCCTAAGCCCAGCCCAGCCTCACTAAACCCGAAACCGCAACTCCAATCCCTGAAGCCCTGCACCAGGCATCCAACCTGCCCTACCTCCTCTTTCTCCAGTCAATGGGGACCCAGTAGACCCCAAACTCACCTATTGTTGGGGTCGGGAAACTATTAAGAGCTCGAGTCAGATTTTCCTGCTGGAGCATCCACATAGCTGGAGCACCAGTACTGAGTATCAGCTCAGCTGATTCAGTCGTTAGAGCATTCTTTAGTACTTATGGTCCTTATATAGTCATTGCATGCTATAATATGACCCCAGCTATAACTATATTATCATTATCGAAACGCCTACATGAAGTGCAGCCGGCAGTGCTCTCTCCCAGCCATCCTCCAACGTCCACGTTTCCGTCTGGGACCAGGAGTAATTTATCCCCCAAGAGCTGCTTAAAACGGCTTGAAATAGGGACTAAGGGCAATATGGCCTTGCGGCCTTGAGGCATGTAGTGCCTCCTATTGTAATCATTCGGGCCCCTATACCAAACGACAATAACCTTTTGAAGCCCGACTTAAATCAGTCCGGCCCATGTAGTTATGGCCTGGGGGCTTTAGGGTCTCGGGCTTCGAAGACAGCGGCAGTTGTTGAGACTGTGATCCCTCAGGGCATAGCAGCTAGAAATGATAACGATGATAAAACCATAGTCACAGTCATAGCCAAGCATTGTAGGTATAAGGTTCACGCTGTTATATGTCATCAGTGTTTATATCGGGGTGCATAAGGCTGAAAATAAGGCTTAGGGCGGGGTTAGATGACATGATACTATAGCAAGAAATAGCGGAATGACGTTACTGAGCGTTCAACCCTCGAGCATTCAAACACAGTGAAGCTTTGTGCCTTCCAACTACAAAACCGACCCTCGCTTCGATGGCTTCGTGGGCTTCACGTTTTCTGTTGCGGTTTTTCACCTGGTTTTCAGAATTCGGGGTTCACGGTTACGAGTTCAGAAAGGGGTTAGGCTTCAGCTTTCAGTGCTAATATTAAACACATCTCGGGGATTTCAACGTCTGGTCACTGTCGTGTGTGTGCAAGGGCCCTTGAACTCTACCTGGAGCTGACTTTTTGGTGAATGTAGTGACAGAACTAGCGTGTGGTCGCCCTAGTCCTCGTCCTCTCCGTCGTCATCATGGTTCTATCTTGCATTTGATTACCGATGTACGTGGCGGTGGTGGATGTGATGCTGGCTCGGATAACCTTATGAGGATTGGGATTGTCATCAACACGACGATAGCAATGGGTGATGACGAGGAAGATGTCGAGGATTATGATAATCATGATGATGTTGTGGTGTGATGACCATGTTGATGGTGGTGAAGATGATGATTAGGATGATGTTGTTGTGATGATGATGTTGTTGATGATGACGATGATGATGAACGAGGATGAATGATGATGCTGGTGATAATGATGATGATGGTGGTGGTGATGGTGGTGATGACGATGATGACGATGATGATGATGGTAACGTTGATGGTGGTCATGATGGAGATCATGCTGACGTCCGATCCCCAAAATCAGCGCACGCTACAAGGCTCCGAAGTCATTCTTCGTACAGCAGGCGGTAGGGGTGCTGCCTGGGTGACCAAGGTACTGCTGCCCACGTCGGTGACCTGCTCGAGTCTACTTTGAAAGCGCACTAACTATGTTCATGCAAATGTCCAGAACATCGATCCAAATGCCCAAACCTGTATCTAGATTACGCTGCAGGCTACATTCAGTTTATGAGGCTGATGCTCGGGGTCAGAGGAGCTGACATGTCTCAATCTGATAGGCGTATATCCTGACTTAGCTGAGGACTGTTTTAGGGTGAGAGTCTTACAGGGGCAAGGTTTAAGGTTCAGGGTCCAGGGACTTTAGGGTTTAGGTAGTATACAGGTTACCAAACATCGCGCCATTAAGCAGTAGGGCTCCTTGAACCGGCGTTTCAGGGGTCAATCTGTAGCAAGCCCTATAGAGCATATAAGCCACATGCCTGAAGAATCCAAACCTTGCAGCCGCAGCCTCAATGCCAAGCCTCAATGCCAAGCCGTCCCCGACAGTCCCAGAAATCAGGTGGACCTAAAGGGTTTGGATCGCAAGTTGATAGTCTGCCCGTACCCTACGATTCGGGGAAACCCTGATGTCCTGCAGCGTTCGATAAATTAAAGCCCAACAAGGCCCTAGGGTTTAGGGTTTAGGGAACCCGAAGTTTCGGTTTAGGGTTTAGGGTTTAGGGCTTAGGGTTAGGGTTTAGGGTTTAGGGTTTAGGGTTTAGGGCTTAGGGTTTAGGGAACCCGAGGTTCCGGGAAGCTGTGGGCTCCGGCGGTGAAAGAGACCTGCTGGGTGAGACCGAAGCGGGCGTACCTGGAGAAGTTGGAGGTTGTGGGACTTCTGTGGGTCTTGCTTCTCTTAGCATTTTAAAGTTCAAAGGCTCTGGGGTTTAGGGTTTAAGGGTTTGGGGTTAAACCCGAAACTAAACCCTAGACGGTCCTGAACCCTAAACCCTTCGGAGTCGTTCTTCGTGCTTTGGCCTGAGGAAGGGCTGTACAGCAGGGCTTAATGATGGCAAAGAGCTCTTGCGGCCTGAGGGGGGATCATCTCAGAATTCTAGGCTTTAGTAGGAATGTCTCCTTTCACTCCCGAAAGAACTGTGGGCCCAACTCTACACCCTAAACCCCCAAACCCTAAAGTCCGAAAACCCATTCGAATCATTAAGGCCTTTACGGTATTACGAACCCGGAACCCGAACAACGCTGCTGCCCTGAAGAGCCCAAGACACCAAGAGGGCAAGGCCTTGCGCCGGTTCGGACATACTTTATAGGGTGCAGGGTTATACGGCTGATGATATAAATCCTGCATTACCCATAATAAGCAATAGACCATAATTCCCGTAGTTTAGAGTCCCTAAGGTAATGCAGCATTTATATCATCAGCCGTAGTTCTAGGATACAGGACTCTATCCGAGATCCTGGGTTGTTGAACTAAGGTGAAAGGGTTCAGGGATATGCGAAAAGGGTTTAGGGACATAGGCCAGAAGGTCTGGGGTTCGGGGTTCAAGGCTAAGCTAGGGGGCTAGAGGGTTTTCGCTGTAGGTTTTAGGCATCCCAAAACCCGAAACCCTAAAACCCAGACCCTAAACCCTAGACCCTAGACCCTATACCCTAAACCCTAGACCCTAAACCCTACACCTCAGGAGTTCAAGAAATTGGCATCTCGCGTCCGATGCGCGCACCCACCGAGTAGCACCCCCAGCTTTAGCTGCAATGGCTGGTCCTCCAAAAGGCTGGATCTTGAGGTAGTTCTCTAAATTAAGGCCCCTCTGTAGCTCCCCAATATAGTACAGCACCCTTGTAAAAAAAAGGACCATTAAAGGCATCCTAATTTGGAGAACTACCCCGGTTATACTTTGACAGTTGAATCGGCATTGCAGGGAACTAGGTAGTAGCTAGACCTAAATTAAATCATAAACCCTAATCCCCCAGATCGATGATTTCCATGCTATGGCAACTTATGTAAACTCAGTTTCGTTAAGTTGTGCTTTCCAGACGGTGGTAACCTTCAAGCTTCAAAACAAGAAGTCAGTCCTTGGTCGCCAGGAACACCTTCTTTCGACCTGAACAGGGTTGTCGGTTCGGCGGTTTCAAGGTATCAGGTTTTAGGGTTATTCGATTATTGAGGGCTTGGTGCGTAAGGTTGCGGCAGAACCTTGTAAAAAGTACAACAGTTTCTGCTAGATTGGAAATGTAGTACAGCAGGGTGACATCGAAAGCTTCACTCATGCAGAGGGCGCTCTTCCAGAGCATAGAAATCAAGGTGCAAGAGCGGAAGACTAACAAAGAGAAAGAACGTGTTGTATGATGAATCTGGAGAAGCATGGACAACCATTCTCAACTGATGGCGCATGATCATCTGGAGAAGCATGGACAAACATTCTCAACAGATGGCGCAGCTGGAATCTGAAGGAGGCTCGACGATCAACCACCTCACCCCACTGCTGACTATAGCTTGAGCTTCCGAAACGACGCAGTTGCACTAGACTCAAGCATGCTCCTCTCTTAACTGAATGTGCTCCATGTTCTCATACCAGCAGAGCTTCTTTGTGCAAGGTCTAGGTGTACCGCCTCGGAGCTCAAACGTCTGCAAGCTAGAGGACGTTCAGGGTTTAGGGATTCCCATGGTTTTCTTGTAGGAGCCCAAAGCTTTTCGCGACAGCTTCATTTGGGCTCGGGCCGTCGTGCATGTCCGTGAGGAATACCGTGCTACGAATCAGGAGCCGGCCGTCCTGACAGCAACTGGACTCGATCTGCAAGGCTGCTCATGCTTCCAACGCACGTGCCTAACGGAACAGCAAGTTCAAACTCTGAACTGCTTGACGTTTTTTTGCCCAGAAACCAGGAAGCTCTAGATGAGAGCTGAGAGGTGTGTCCCTGTTCCACTATGCGCAGGGGCTCGCACCCCTAACTCTTTCGACCAAACCCCGTTGTTGCAATCCTCAACTTCAGGAAGCACGGCACGGCATTGTGGTTTCGGCTTGGGACCGAATCTACAACCTCCACCAATCCAAACTCCGAACATGCGCCATTCCCATTTTTTGTGACAGATCTAACACCTGCAACTTCGTCCGAAGCATCTCCAAGAAACTTAAACTATGTGCGCCACTGACTGAGCCAGCTCAGCGGAACTTTGCCCTATAACGCCAAGCCCTGTGCCTGCAACATGAACTCTGGCAATCATTACCCAACACCGCCTATAGTTTCTGACGGTCTGCAAGCCCAACAACGAAAAATCCTCAACCCGCAGCACCCGACACGCTAAGCCGTCAGATGGCTTTCCTTGATGGGCCCGCCGAGGGAAGAAGAACCCCCAGAGGGATCGGATAGGTCAAGCGGAAGTGCCACGGTGCCTCGGAGATTTTGTTGGCATGTGCTAGGATATAAGTACCTGGTCATCCCATCCGATGTGTTAAGAGACGAAGAGATGCCTTGACGAAGTGTCTTTATCTTTATGAACGCAGTGTACTCACGCACAGGATGCAGTACCATGCAATGTAAAGCAATGCAATGCAATGCCATGTAATGCTCTGCAATCCACTGCACAACAGTGCAGTTACTATACCTTACTACAAAACACTACCCAAGAGACCATACTGTAAGTTAAACCTGTATTAGCGCCTGGATAGGGAACCCCTAGTTTCGAGAAACCTCCGTTTGTGGGTTGTGCTTTTGGGGTTTTCGGCATTGGCCGCGTGAGTTCCGTCGGCTCGTGAAGCCGCGTCGTCTTGGCAATTGGCTTTCTCCCTCCCTCCGGTCCGAGCTCGCTCTTTGCTTCTCTCCCTTTCTCCACCTCTCTGGTGATCTTTCATTCGTGATGCTTGTGTCCTCTCCCTCTCTCTGGCAAAAGCCGTTCTTTCTTCTTCTCCGTTTGCTTGCGAGCTGAGTGCCTCACCCATGGAAAAGCAGGAGGCCGTCTGCACAGCAGCCTACCGAAAGAGTGTTTTTTAGATTTGGTCGGTACGACAAGAAGCGGTAGTGGCAGTGGTGGTACAGTACTGTTGTGATTAGTGTCATTGTTTTATTGATATATAGCAGTACGTCATGGTGGCAGCAGTAGTAGTAGTAGTAGTAGTAGTAGTAGTAGCACCAGCAGGAGTAGTAATAGTAGTAGTAGTAGTAGTAGTAGTAGTAGTAGTAGCACCAGCAGGAGTAGTAGTAGCAGTAGTCGTCGGTGTAGTGGTAGTGGTAGCGGGGGGTTGTTGAATAGGAGTAGTACCAGCGCACGCTAAGAACAAAAGCAAGCCTCATCAGGCAGTATAGGAGTGCTCGAAGGAGGAGGAAGAGGTAGAGGTAACGGTCGTGGTGGTGGCGGTGGTGCTGGCGGTGACGGCGGTTGGCGGTGGGTAGGAGGAGGAAGGTAGGGGAGGACCAAGAGGAGGAGGAGGAGGAACGGTGATAATCTTGGTAGTGGCGGTGGAAGTGGTCGTGCTGGTGGGCTGTAGTGCCGGCAGTAGTAGTGGTGCTGGCAGGCGCCGGTGCTGTTGTCGGTTGCACAAAGTCCAAATAGCAGAGCCAGCATACTCCAAACCCCAGCTTGGCGTACCTGTCGCGAGGACCCTAAACTGTCGCCCCTAAATGCCCCGAACCTCCATGGTAACCTTCGGCCTCACGTGTGCAACGCTTTGTACTGGCGACGCACCTCTACAGAACCCTCAATAGAACACCTTTCGACCCTCATAGAACCCGCATAAACGCCCTGATTGCTAACCCTTGTAAGCACCTCGTCCTGGGTCCCCAGCTCCTCCTCACCGGTCTTGCCCTGCGACCGGCTTGATCTTCGTCAGATTTTGGGCTTCATGTAGGGGCCTTGATCGTCAGAAGAATCGGGATTGAATAGAGATGTGAAGTAGTTGGTAGCATCATTAAACCAGGAATAGAAGGGTATGCTACTACCGATTTTTCCAATCCCTCCAAGGGCTTTGATGGCTTCGGTTTGGCTTCACGGGTGGGATTTTTTCCGAGCACACAGCCTAAGCTGCGATGTTTAGGGCCCGTCGGAGGTTCCGCTTCCAAGGATCCCTGCTCTGATGGATCCTACGTTTTTGGGTCCGTATCAGGGTCTCTCGTTTTCTGAAAGTCGTATTTGGGTTGTGGGAGGCTGGAAATGGGAGTTTCCGAAAGTAAGGGGTACCTCATTTTGGGGTCCTTATAATAGGGATACTACTATTTGAGGTACTATATTAGGGTCCCCTATTTTCGGAAACCCCCATATGCAACACCAGGTTTACAGGGACTTCACACGAGAGCTACACACAGAGCTCCAGCATGGTCACCAAACCCACTAAACCCTAAAACCTAAACGGTTTAGGGTTTAGGGTTTAGGGTTTAGGGTTTTAAACCCTATAAACCCTACGACCTGAACCATATGATCCCTAAGACCTACAAACTATAGACCCTAAGACTTTCTGCCGCAGGCTTCGCTCAGAAACTCAACCTCAAACCCTTGAAACGTCGACAACACCCGAAATCACTCATCCCTACAACCCCTGAGCCCTAAACCCCTAAACCCTAAACCCCATACCCCCTAAACCGTAAACCCGCAAACCCTAAACCCCTGAACCCTGAACCCTTAAACCCTAATTTGTGGCTAAGAGTGTAGGGGCTTAGGGTCTGCTGTCGTAGGGTTCAGGGTTCAGGGGCCTTTATGCCAACACCTCAAAGAGGGCACCCAATACCCCAAAACCTAAATCCCCACGTCATAAAAATAATAGCTCTCACCCCCCAAAGCCCTAAACCCCATCACCCTGAACCTAAACCCTAAACCCTAAACCCTGAACCTTGAGCCGAAAAACCCTACCGCCCTACAGCTCAGCTTTTCGCCGCAGAAACTCAGATGATCGGCGACGGACGCTCAAACCACGGGCTTGCGGAAGTTGAGCCCGGCCTCGATTCACTCGGACTCCACTTTTAGGGTTTAGGGGTTTAGGGTTTAGGGTTTAGGGTTTAGGGTTGGGGTTTAGGGTTTAGAGTTGAGGGTTTTGGGCTTCATGTAGGGGCCTTCATAATTAGAGATAAGACTTTGGGGCTCCTTATTGTAATTATAGTGCACTGTACCACAAACCCTATTGCAATTATTCGCCTCGGCCCCGGCCGAAGCGGTCAGAGGTTCCTATTCGGACTTCCTCTATTCAGTGACCCGGGGGGTCCCTCTGTGTGAACCCCAGGGTCCTGCGGTGAAATCTCGCCTCCTCCAATGGCACCAGCAGTTCGTTGGCCCTCTTTGTTTGCGGCCGGGCCGAGGCGGACGACGCGAAGCGTTTAAAATTAAGGCTGCTATATTAAGCTTTTTGTGCTAAAATGCAATAGCCCCCTTTCACTCCGTCGCGTCTTGAGTCTTGAGACTCACCCGAGATGGGAGTGTACACTTGGGAGGAGTCAACCATTGCAGCACCTCTAAACGCTCACGCTTAGGGATTAGCGGTTACATAGGCGGGCTTTAGGATTTAATTAGTGTTCAGGGTTTGGGGGTTTAGAGGAAATGTGGAGTCCATGTTAGGGCGATGGAGAGGGCTTAGCAGCATGTCAAGGGTTCTATGGAGCACCTAACTGCCAAGAGGTCACGGATCTCATCACGAGCTGGGGCCCACACATAGACTGCACGGTCTCCGAGCTCCTCCTCTATCCGCATCAGCTGATTTAATTTCGCGGTCCTGACCACACCGAGCAGTCTGGGTAGCTATGGGGACAGGGACACTCCAGTAGTCGTGGGCCAAGAACCCTTAGCAAACTCTTACAGAACCCATAGAACCCTCATAGCAGCCTTAAAAAGGGATGCTCTTTTCTTTCGGCTGCTTTGGATGACTTGGAGTGCTCTGGATTGTACTACAGGGCTATGAATGACAAAGAAGCGCATATATTGAAAACTACCAAGCCGAAATTGCCCTCCGCCTTGAGCTCGAGACCCTAGAGCCAAGGAAAAAGATGTCCAAACAGAGGGACGCAGGATTTACTAGTACCAGGGTGATGAAGACTTGCTGCTGCTCCGCAGCATGATAGCAGAGATGGTGCTGTTAATGGTTCCTGTGGTGATGGTGATGGGTTCGTAGTAACAACGGTTGCAACGACCAAGTAATTACAACGGACGACCGCCGGGTGCTGTTCACACGCATTTCAACGGCCATGATATCTTCGACAAGATGAAGGCAAGGCATGCTTTTGACGCTCCAATGTCGCGCTTCCCACATCAAACAGCCTCATCGTCGTGGTTGTCATCCTTCTCATTCTCGTCCTAATATCATCCGAATATCTTTTTGTCTTCATCACCAACATCAAGTCAGTTATCATCTGCATATCTGCATGCCGATCCTGACACTCCTCGGTCTCGTCATTGTCTTCACAAAGTAAGGCTCGCCCAATGATCCTTATACCAAGCACCCTACTACCTAGGGTCTGTGCCGGGCTCCCATATTTCAAAACCTCAACCAACAGCCCCTGAGGATCCTTCTATTAATATCTCCTGGTAGTCCTTGTAAAGATAGTAAACGTATGGTGAACCAGCCCTCCGCAAACCATTCAGGGGACGCTAGTATCACATACCTCTAATTATTCCAGCCAACCACTAGTAGCCACCAAAAGCACCGACAGTGGCGCAGGTTGTAATAGTTGATGCTGCGGCACTCGAATAAGCCCCAAACCTGTAGGACTTGCCGGCAACAAAGACACCGCTTCCGCACCTCTCCGAGCGGCAGGGGGCACCCGTTTTGATCTGCCCCGATCGCAATCCAACGGAGAGGTCAGCGATGAAGACCTCTGTTCAATTTGTAAGTTATGTGTGTACTATGCATGTGTGCATGCATAAATAAACATATATGTATGTGTATATGTATATATATATATATACTTGTTGTCTCTGCGCATATATATACACACACACACCACATGTGTGTGTGGGTGTGCGGGTGAGTGAGTGAGTGAGTGAGTGAGTGAGTGAGTGAGCGAGCGAGTGAGTGAGTGAGGCTGAGTGACTGAGTGAATGAATGAGTGGGCGTGAGACACTTTGTTTCTACTGTGTGCCAGTAGCATATGTTCCTAAAACTGCCACGCTGAATACAACTACAGTTAACGAAGAATATATACAACAAAACGAGTTGCCACAAGCAGACATATAGACACGCACGCATACATACATAAATACATACATACATACATACATACATACATACATACATACATATACATACACACATAATCGTATGCATGCATGCATGCATGCATGCATGCATGCATGCACAGAGTTACACATGTCTATACATTCGTATGCATGTTTCTGTATAATTATGTATTTGTGTTTCTAATTGAAAACTGCACAAATGATCGAGTGCAATCACCCCCAAGCCCTAAACTGAAAGTTCATAGAAGCAGTGCTAAGAACACGGGAGATGCGACGGGAAAAGGTCTTCGAGGTGCTTCGGCCATATGCGTTTGGAAGTTCGTGAGCCCAGGTATGTCTCGGAAACTCTAATCCCTCAAACCGGAGTCCTAAACCCTCTAACCTGAACCCTAAACCCTCTGACCTGAACCCCAAACGCTCGAACCTGAGCCCTAAACCCTCGAACCCCAAACCCTCGAACATGAACCCTAAACCGTCAATCCTAGATCCTGAGCCCTACGACCTCGCGCCTCAAACCTGGATCCTAAATTCTACGTCCGTTGGTTTCGGTGCAGAGGCATCTGAATCAGGATTTACAGTTTAGAGGCTCAGGGTTCAGGGTTTAGGGTTTAGGGTTGAGAGTTTAGAGTTGAGAGTTTAGGGCTTAACTTAAGGAAGGCTTTACTGGCACTATGTTGGCTTCTTTCTATCATACTTGTGCTTCAAGTCACGGAGTTGTGTTGAAACAAGGACTGACTCGCGGAACCCTAAAGCCGTAAACACTCAAAACCCTAAATCGTAAGCCACAACACCCTAAACCCCTAACCCTCCCTCAATTCTGCAACTTCAAACCCTAAAGCCCTAAACGTGCTTCAGGCTTGCTCTCCGAGGAGCATCTTCGGTTTCGCCGGATCGGTGGGAGACCATGACCTCGGCTCTTCGAGTTTAATGTACGGGTTTCTCTACGGCTTCTAGTTTTAGGGCTTAGGGCTTTAGGGGTTTAGGGGAGGGTTTAGGGGTTTGGGGTTTAGGGTTGTAGGGTTTAGGCGTTCTCTAAACCCTAAACCCTAAAGGATCTAGCAGGGCTTTCTCGAGACTTTATTGGGGGGGGGTTCTAAGCCGGGGATTTTGGGCTCGAAGGCTTCAGTAGGGTAGATAGTAGAGGGAAGGGGAGGGGCGGGCTTGCTCAGCCTATTCATCTGTCTATGGTTCTCTAAGATTACTGGAATTTTGTGCGTCTATATCCATGATTCTCTAAGATTAATGGAATTATATGCGTTTATATCCGTGATTCTCTAAGATTCATGGAATTATATGCGTCTATATCTATCGCTCTCTCTCTCTTGCTCCCTCTCCCTCTCGATTTGAGAAGCCGTCTACAGGAGCCCACGTATGCGGATCTCGGGATCTCGACATTCCCCGGCAGGCAATTAGCCAGTAGGCCACAGTCACGTGCGTAGTTCTCCAAATTAGGGTCCCTGCTTAGGGTTCCTTAAAGGGACCTATAAGGGTTTCTACAGGGTTTCCATTCTATAAGGGTACTATACCGGTAGCTCTTTAAAATTGCGGTCCCTACCGGGGTCCTTATTATAAGGGGTGCCGCATTACTTTGGGGACCCAAAAGGGACCCCGATGTCGGGAACTACCCCTATAGCAATAACTATCTGGCC